GGTGAGTGGGGATTTTGTAGATGCTAATTCTTTGCCTGTGGCAGTCTAAGGTGCAGATGTCCTCCAGTGCTGGAGCTGGGTCCCAAGGATCTGTGCACTGTCGATGAGCTGCTGGAAAGCCTTCCTTCTCTACAGAAGCTGTCCCTCTCAACAAGTGGGGAAACTGGTTTGAGAAACCATCTGGTTTAAGCTGGTAACTATCCTATAACTAAGTTATTTTGTGTTATTTCTAGAAAAGAATGTCTAATCAGGCGCAATTTGAGCCATATTCACAGGACAAGTTTAGAAAATTGTCTGATTTGAAGACATTACAGGGCAAAAACAAGACCTGTGTTTCTTTTATTCAACACCAGTCCCAGTCTGGAACTGTTTGAAGAGGTGCTGGTAGTCAGTATCACTTTTGTAAGTCACATTGTCATACAACAAATGTCATGTTCACAGAGTAATATCATCACCATTGAATCTGACTTTACTGAAAATACCTGTAATTTTTATATTTACTTTGCCAGCAATACTTTTTTAGTATTACATCAATTCAAAAGGCAGAAATATTTGCAATACTAAGAGCAGATGTCAGTTTTCATTCAGTTTTAAGAAAGTTTTCATTTATTCTCCAGTTTTTGAGTTGGATCCTGCAGAGGATTAAATTACCACTCTCCTCATGACCCCTCAATGTCACATTGTTATACAAATACACTGGATTTTACCAATTTCAAGAGTTTGCCCAGATTTAGCCCCTTATACTTTAAAACCAATTGCTTATTATGCTATATGACAGCCTAGACATCATTATCTTGTCAGCAGAACCTTGCTCTGAACATAAGCATGCCTCACAGTCTTTCTGTAACACCTTAAAGTGATACCTTAATCATTGTTTCTCTACTATCTTTTTAATATCAAAAATATGTATACTTACTTTGGCTGGGAGGGATTAATTTCTCTCAGCTCATTGAATCTGATGGCTGTGGCGGCGCTAGTCACTGACCTACAATTGTGGAAAAAGTTATCAAACACACTCATGCAGTTGTAAATTCCTAACAGTAAAAACACATGAGAATATGTGAATAATATAAATTATATTCATACAAAAAATCAAAATGGACAGATTTTGATGATCTGGTCTACCATGCAAAATTTGATGTTTTCTTAACAACAACAACAATAATTATTATAATAAGAATAAGAACTGACTACAGACAATTCTTTGGACTTCATGACTTAGTTTGTTCTCTGACATGACTGTCAACAATCAGACTTTATATAGACAGGTGTGTGCCTTTCTTAATTGTGTCCAATCAACTGAAAACACCTGAGGCATGATGAGTGGAAACAGGATGCAGCTGAGCTCAATTTTGAGTGTCATGGCACACAGTGTTAATACTTATGTACATGTTATATTTTTATCTATTATTTTTTAATAAATTTGCAAACAAACTCCTTTTTTTAAACTTTGTCATTATGAGGTGTTGTGTGACAAATTTTTAGGTAAAAAAATGAATTTAATCCAATCCAAAGTGTTGTGTCTGTGATTATGAGCATTCATAAGAGCTTATAGTAATGTATATGAAGTGTTATAAACAGTGAGCATAATACCCCATAAATGTCGTATTTATAATGTGTTTATAACTAAATTCAATAAAAAACAAGTGTCTTTTAAATTCTAGCTTTAATAACACATCATAACTCTCACAACATTACCTAGTTATAAATAGTTATGAAGAAATTATTCAGCAGATCATAAGAGGTTTTAATTTTTATAATTCTAAAATGGTAAATGTGTTATTAACACTTACAAAATGCTAAAGCATGACTGGGTGCTTCAAGTGAAGTGAAATAAAAACTAAATGTATAATAAAGACATCAATATACTATTTTTATGATATTAGTGCAGATTGGATGAAACACTGGGTATAGTAAATAACTAGATTACTCATAACTTCATGAATTTGTATATTTGTCATAATGAAACAGTATCCAAAGGCACATCTGGACTTGCTAAAACAAAGACAGAAAAATACAGGCGTCGACAGCAGCAAAAACAAAGGTTTGCATCTACAGCTGTTTAAAGGCCTGTCTTTTGTTGCAATAATCAGAGTTTTGAAGGCTAAGTGGTTCTCGGGGTTAGTTTTGTTTGAATTCCAAGTTCTCCATAAACCCAAGTAAAGCTATTGGAGATATAATCTGCGATTAAACCCAGAATCCAAATGGTGCCGTTTCAAAGTGGTCTCTTCTCTATTTCTCAGACACTGTTTGAATATTGAATGAATATCCGAGTCTTTTTTTATAATTTCTCAAACAAAGAAAGTTGTTTGTCACTGAGGCAGGTAATCTAAAACCTGTCAGAGGTGCACAGCTGACTTTCTATTGAACTTCAGGTTGTGGGATTTGCAGTTCTCACTCTCAGTTATGAGACCACCTCTTTCTACAGACTGTTCCCCACTTTCAAGTAGGGCTGGGCAAAAAAATGATAATATATATCAAAAATTAATTTCCCTCACTATCAATATAAAATATGGTCAATATGCTTTTCAATAGTTTGCATTCTGCCATGTTGCTCCGGGTCTGCAAAAGTTTACAAATCCTGAGCGGAGCAAGGAGCCCATGGCGCCTGTTTAGCTGAAACAGCTGATTATTCAGTCCGCTATCTCTATCGCAATGCCTTACAACAAAACGTCTGAGACACAAAGACCTCACAGATGCAGTAGCTTATTGTATTGCAAAAGACATGCTACCAGTAAGCACTGTTAAATTTCATTTAAGAGTAACAGGGAACATTTAAGATTGACAAGTGATTTTTTAATATCGTGACATATATCGTTAGACTAATATGAAAAAATATATTGTGATAAACTTTTTCCCATATCGCCAAGCCCTACTCTCAAGTGAAATTTTATCCTCCATAACGAAGGCCCATTAAAGCCAGAACCTGTCAAAAAGCACAGTCTGTCCATTTTTCATCCCCTTGGTGTCGCAGTTGAGGGTAGTTGGCCTTAATCACTTAAGCCCCCCAAAACAGATGACCTTGCTTTTCAGGTGTGTTTCAAAGGAATTAAAACTGTCCTCCATGAGGGCCAATCACTAGATTTAATACCTTTCATAAAACCAACATTCACTCCAACGGAGCATCTTTACTCAGTTTACCTTCTTTTGTACTGGATGCCAAACACTGAGCTCACAGTGAAGTTTGGCAGTTTTAGTGACCGATTTAAGAAAGTACAAAACACAATGTAAACATTCATAAGATCACCCAAAACACACTTACATTTTTATCACTTTTTATTAAACTGTAAAACATACTCTCTTCACATTTCTTCACGAGTATCAGTTCAGGAGATGATGTTGGTGCTATTCGGAGTTTCAGTTGAAAATATAGACAGGGGAACAGAAATATAAACTTCATTTTACATGTCTAACACTATACTGCTGCTGGTCCTTGGAAAGTATTTACATAAAATGATTGATGTTTAGAAAGATAGATGTGAAGGCTGATAATCTGCTGCACTAACTTTCAAATGTATGAACAAAACAGAACACCAGGACATGAGGATGTCTGATGTAAGAACGTATTTACACAATCACCATTGAAAAAATGAATCCACTTCTCAACAACAACCCACCATCAGTTTGAAGATGCAGCTACATCAAAACATGTCAACCAATTTTGAGTCCAGTGCATTGAGGTCAGAGATAGAGATCAGTCTTAGGCCCAAACAGAGGGGTGTGAGTGACTGAAGGATTCAACCATAAATCTGGAGCAGAGGATGCACCTTTGATAGCTTCATGTAGGCAGGGGTGACCAATAACCCTGTATAAAATACAGAGATTGTCTACTGTCTTTCAGTATTTTTCTAAGAAGATGGTACTCAAAGACACAGAGAGCCACTTGCCTGAACAAAGCCTGCTGTATACACAGCCTGGAAGAAAAGTCTGACAGTGTCTTTTTTATGTTTATAATCTTTATGTGGAAGCGATATGCAAAGATGGTAAAAATGAAAAAAAAAATTCAGTTTGGGATATTAAGAAATCCATCACAAAAATCTGATTAAATGCATCAGACAGGGGGTTCAACAGTTAGACTTTAGCAGTTATTTTACCTAGCCATTCAGATGGTGTTGTGGTTGGGACATGAGGTTGAGACAAAAAAACCACCAAGGAGGAAAGACACATCGAAAGTGGAGCCGGAGCAGCGCACTTTTTAATAGGCAGAATAAAAGGTTCTTACAGATAGTGGATTAAATGTCATATATTGGCCCTGATAATCAGCCAAGGTCAACAATTGGTCTATCCCTAGTATTATGTGTTGTTGTCACTGCATCACTGTCATTGTAGACATTTTACTCACCGAAACCCTAAGACCCAGGATTGACATGACAGAAACCAGACAGTTCTCTTGAATCTGGCAGCTGCACACAGCCTGAGCCCCCTGCTGTGCCCTCCACAGGTGTCTGTCAGTAATATACATGGTGCTTTTTCAAGTATGTGTGACACAGCTAGAAACGAACACCAACTTAAGGTTAAACATACGGCTCTCTTCGGCCTGGGCCATGCTCTACAACCATCTAGACAGTAAGCTGTACAGGGATAGCAACAGTGACTGAACAAAGAGCCTCTGTTGTTGTTGAACACAAAGTATTTGTGCAGCAGCAGCTTGAAGCTTGTTCCCTCTGAGAGCGACTGATGCACAACTTATTTTACTGGCTCCACAGTCAATCTTTCCCCTGCTTCCAGTCTTGCTGATAACCATATTTCTGTCTCATCTCTGAACTTGATGCGCAGGATCAAAATTAGACATTAATTGTCTGATGGCTGAAACCAACACATCTTGTTCTATTCCTTTACACACAGTGATGAATACCTCCTTTAAAGCTCTTCTGATCAAACTGAGGACAAAGAAGTAAAAGGGCTGAGGAAAAAAAAAGTATCAAAGTGGTTTCCAAGATAAAAGTTTGACCTTTGAGTATAAAACAGAGGGCAGAATCTTACCACCAGAAAAAAATCACTCAGGACTTTTTCCCCTTGTCCTTCTTCTTTTTTTTCTCCTTCTTTTTTTTCTTTTTTGATGATTTTGTTTTTGATTTTACTTCTTTTTCAGAGCCACTATTATCACTGCTTTCATCTTTTACATTTTTATTTCTCTCTTGGCCTTCCTTCGATAATTCCACCTTGCTGTCTGTGTTTTCCGCTTTGACCTTGTCCATCTCCTCTGTCATCTTGAGCTTTGGAGGAGGAGTCAGTCCTTGGGACACCGTTATTAGCAACCTTTCTTTCCTCATCTCCTCTTTCAGGGATATACTTCCCGATCCAGCCCTGTGGCTCCTGTGCTCCGGATCATGTTGGCTCCTGTGGGGGTTCTCACCTGTCCAGTGTCGTGGGTGGTCTCTGGGATTCCTGTGGTCTCCTGTATCTCTGAGGTAACCCTGGTCTCTGTGATCTCTTCTGTCTGAGAGGTGCGAGTGTTGGTTGTTGCTGCTGCTGCTTGGATAGTGCGAGTGTCGATCTGTGTCGTTTCCTGCAAGCTTGTCCAGCTGGCTTTTCTGCTTTAAAACACAGACATACAAACAGTTCAGAGGTCAGAGGGGATCAAGACTCTAGTAATGAGTTATTGTACTTTATGAGCCACGTTAATATGCGTTATATGTATCGGGCAAAAGTGAAAATAAAGTTTGTCCTGAATGTGGATGGAAAATCATGAGGCACTGTTGCAAATGTCAAAACAAACAAACAAAAAAAGGGTAGCTCTGGCTTTCAGGAAATCCTTACTGGTCTTGGTGACTCCAGTTGCCTAAGCAGTACCTCTTATTTCCTCACTGATCCTGTTCTTAAGACTTTTTCCCCAGCCTTTATGTTATGCGATGGTGGTTATTAGTTCTGAATAGCAAGAACAATGCCGCAGACAACCAGCTGCACATATCAAATCAATCTGGAGTCCAGCTCAGTTAGAAAGTTGAAGATTTCCCTTCTTCCTGTTGACAGTGTGGCAAAAATGGCTTCAGAAAACAACATGGAGGGTATTTTTAACAAGACTCTGTACTTATGGGGAGGGCTCAGAACTTTAGATCCACGGGTACAAAGGAATCACTTAATCACAAAAAAAAAAACAGTATCAATGTGCTTCTCAAGAAGAAAGAAAGCCCTGGAGAAATTTCACATCACTTTCCATGGTGAAGAAATTGAGGTGGTAAATGAGTTTAAATATTTAGGTGTAACTCGAGATCCTCCACTTGAGTTTGATGCATATATAAAGAAGCTGTCCAAAACTATAAAAACTAGTCTGTTTCAGACTTATCAGGCCATGTCTCTCTTTTCAGGCAGCTCATTTATACCTGCATGTCCTGTTGCATCACTGCCTGGGGCCAGACTTAGCCACTAGACCTCTATTCTCACTCCATAAACCAGCTTTAAAAATTTTAGATCACATAAACATAAGACTTCTCTTTACACATGGAGACAGTAGGCAGACTTACACTGCTGGAGTTACTATGTCCATGACTGGCTGCATGATTTTCAGCACCATTTAAATCTCCAATGAACTCCTCACACTTCTGACAATAAAACCCAATAACTGGAGTCAGAAAACTCATTCCTGCAGAGAAGACGGAAGCAGAAAACAATCAAAATGTATTTTAGAGCACAAAAGAAGCAGCAGAAGAAGAAGAAGAAGAAACAACTGTTATTGGAAGAAGTTCGCTCACCGTCCTGTTTCAACAGTTCCTCTAGTTCTTTCATCAAAGTTTCCATTTTAGCCGTTCTGGCTTGTCTTTCTCTTTTCCAGTCCTCACTATCTTTCACCTGGAAGTATGAAAATATTTCAAACATGTGGGACTGGAGAGAGTTCAAGCATGCTGAATGCAAAATCATGTTTAATTTTTGATGCTTTAGAGAAATGCTTTACCTTTTGTTTATCAGAAGATATCTGAGATTGGCCGCTAACATCAGTCTTCGCCCGTTTCTCTTTTGTCGCTGTGCAGAAAAAAAAAAAGGCCACATAACGGTAAACCTTACGCACTGAAGGCTTTTAAACAGTTAAGATAGAGATGATCAATGGTGCAGCTCAACTTTTGGCATGTTGACAACTTGGAAGAATAAGCAGTATGATTGATTAACATGCTGTAACTCTAGCAATGACCTGAGGGGTGCAGGGTGAGCATCAAGAAGGGAAATCAGGAAGAGTTTAGGGGTCTCTCAGGATTCAAATGTGAAAATCAAAGGAGAAGAAACCCTAAACTCTCTCTTTGAGCAATTTAAGAGTAATCTGAAGCATTTTCTGCACAGCATTCTGTCAATTTATGGAGGAGAGAGTTTTGAATCATCATACACCTTCCGGTAGGCTTCGCCCACCCCCCTCTCCCCCATAGTTACAGTTGCTATGCAGGGACAAGCTTTGCACAACCAGCGTTCAAAACAATGGCGGCGCCCCTACTTTGAATGTGAAAATAAAGGCTGTACCTGATGTTTTGATTGATGAATTTTTGAGGAAAAGCTCAAATATCTCTCAGCAATCTAACCAACAAGGCCTGGAGGAATATGTGCACAATATTCAGGTTTCTACGGACAAAATAGAAGCTTAAGTGTATCGCTCTCAAAGGAAGAATGAGAAACCACATCTCCTGGTTATTTACTATGTCGGCGACAGTATCACCGGACAGGAGTGTTCGTGTATCGCAGGCTAAGTTCTACACAACTATTAAGTACTTAGTTACTGGATAAACATAATGAGAAAATGATTTAACTAGTGGTATACTGCTCTGTGATTACGTGGTGGAGTGTTGAACTTTACCGAGTGACCCATACTTTCTGCAAAGCATGCTAGCTAACATGACTCCGTGTGAAAGTCATGTCATGGCAATCTATCACAAATAAACAGCTAAAAATGATAAAAAGAAACAGATTAAACTGGACATGTTACACAATATGCTCATTAATCTAATGGCAATCTCTACTTAATCCACAGCATGCACCTTTTTAAGGCACGCTTCGGCTTCGGAAAAGGAATAAAAAATGCCCCATTCAAACGCTCTGGGTACCTAGTATCACTGTTGCAGGTCCCCCAGCAGCAACTTTTCACCATGGTGGTAATATAATACGAATCTTCTTGATATTATATTGTTAATCAACTTCTGAAATAGCCTTAAATAACATGGGATTCAACGGGTGATGCGGCCATGATGTCCGACTTTTGTTTGCTACGCTGTGATTGGACCATCGCAGTCTGGGGGCGGAGTGTATACTTTGTGATACTTTCAGTGTAGCTTAGCCTTGCTGGTATCTTCAGGGTTGCATGCCAGAGCTTTAAAGGGATATTCCAGTGTAAATTTAAGTTATGGTCAAACACACCATCACACCAAGTTAGACACCCCCTCGAGAGATGAATTTTGCCGACTGCTTGCTTCTCTAGTTATGCCAACTTTAGAAACCACTGCACAATAGCAATACACAGTGGTCTACGTCTCCATGTGCAAACCTCAACCAAAAAGCCACTCTATAGCCACAAATAATGCTCAGAACAGCACCTAACTTCATCAATAGTACATATAGGGTCCCAGCCATAGTACTAGCCACCAAACATCTTCTTAGCTTTGCCTAATTTCTTTAGCAAAGAGACCAAACACAATTCACCTACTCTCCTCCAGCAGCCACTTGTTTGTGGGGAAGCCCCAAGAAGTCGATCACCGAGTGTTACAGTGTGTTAGACCTTAACTTAAATTTATGTTGGAATATCCCTTTAACAGGCATTTCAAGCTTCTGGAATAAAACAAAACCACCTGACTACATCCATGGCTGGTTAATATAAACATCTAAAAAACATGTTTTTACAGAGGTCTAATAAGTCAGCTTCGGGATCCTCACCTTTTATCAGTGACTGCAGAGACTCCAAAGCTTGTCGAACATTGGGGTTAGCCAGCGCCGGGAGAGCTAAACCTGCAATTGTGGAGTCTGAGGCTGAAAACAGAGGAACCTGCTGCTTCTCCTCTTTTTTCCCTGTGATGTTCCCCACGTCTGTCGAGCCCAGACTTTTCAATATGTTTCTGACCTTCTCACACTCACTGCTGTCTAGATTGGCTGTAGCGAAGTTTAGAGCAGAAATCTGAAGGGGTTGCTTCAGATCAAGTGAATTCCCAAAGCTACTAAATAGAGGCTGACTGGCTTGTTTTTCCCCAATGTCTTCATTCCCATATAAGAAGGACTCTTCCTCTTCAAGCTCGTCAGCTTTTTTGGCTGCGTAGTCCTCTTGAGTCTGCGTTTGGAGCCAAGAGAAGTCCCCACCCACTCTGTCATGAGGAAGAAGCATACTGTCGGCGTCCATCGATGTTGAATTCTCCTGACTGGCATCTTGGTGATGTTTGCAAACATCCAGCACAGATTTTGAGGTTTCGTCTGAGGCCTTCACAAAAGAGAGAACAAAACAGTGTCATGAAAATCCTGACAAGTATGTTATTTCGTGTCATGAATCATCATATGCTCTGGTCTACTGTCTTTTTCTGCAGAAAATCTGAAATCTAAGTTTGAAATGTGGAAATGCAATTCACTGGATTATCAAAGATTTCTTCTAACAGTACCTGTAAGTAAGTTTTTCAAGATGATTTTAGCACATCGTTAAGGGAGAGGGTCACGCTTAGATACCAGGGTCTGCAAAGTTTTAGGCTTAGTGGTTACAGCACAGATCTGGGTTTTAGGTCTTGAAAAGGGCAGCCAACTCATGGCCCTTATCCACATGTCATTGCCTATTTTTTCTCCTATTTACCTTCTCTATCCACTCACCTTCCCTCTTAATAATGTAAAATAAATAAAATGTAAATAAAAATCCCAGAAACTAAATACAACAAAATCTGAAATTCAAGACCCTCATTTTTGAAAGTGTGATTCAACTATAAAAGTTACTTGAATAAAAACAAAACAAAATCCAAACAAACAGAAGAAGAAGAAGATAAAAGATGTCTGTCAGAAACAAAGAAGGAAGAGATCTAAAGTAGTTTGTCGACTTATCTACATGAAATCCCCTCATCTTAATAATGTGCAGGGGGATCATGCTTTCCATCCCGAATGAGTAAATCTGACTTTGTTCTGAGAGGATGATGGTACAGAGTCCCTGAAGTCCAGTAGGCTGAAAGTTCTCAGTAATCTGCTCAGTTGAATGTTTGTATTTGTATTTGCATTACACTGATAATCATATTCTATGTGTAACACAGGTGCCCTATGCTGGGCAGAGGTGAGGGGTAAACACTATGTTTTGTTGATTTGTAGGTTTTTTTGAGCAAGAGTGATTACCATATGTGATGTTCAGGAGAACCTCCAAATTTGACATCCAACTCTTCTTTGGTGAGAAGCGTCTCTGCTCCGTAGAGCAGCGCGCTTCATCGCCCTCAGGATGCGTGTTTGAGGAAACAACATACTCACAGCAGGTTGTTTTGCCTTTCTGTGGTCTATTTCCTGCTTATTTGGATTTTAATCTGTGACTGCTGAGCCTTTACTCTATGTGAAAAAGCAATGTGATTTTAAAGTTTCAGTTTTTGCAGGTTTACTCATGTTTAATAAAGTAAACTATGTTCCTTTATGCTGTGCTGTTACCTTCAGACAGAGTTAGCAGTTCAAAGTCCTGTTGGGGTCCACATGGATCAGGGATTGGCCATCAGATTGTTCTGTTACTGATAAATCCATAACTAGGAAGTATTTATCATCTACACAAACTTATAAACAGTCAGGAGTCCTCATATGTTTTTTTATTTGGAACAGTCTGCCTGAAGAACTGAGAGCAGCACCTACAGTTCATATTTTCTAAACACAAACTCAAGACCTTCCTTTTTAGTCTGGCTTTTAGCTGATTTTGTTTTATTCTTCTAGCCTCTTTTAGTCTACTCTTTTTAGTATTTTACTCCACTTTAGTCCTAGAATTATTATCTTATAATTGAACAATATTTGTTTATTTTCTTTTGTTGTTTGATTTTAAAACAGTTTTATTACAAAATTTTATTATTATTATTATTATTATTATTATTATTATTATGGTTTGATTTCATTTTATTTTTTAATATCTTGTCATGGTTTTATCAGTTTAGCTTCAGCTCCTGTGTTTTTCCATTTTAGTTTAAGATAGCATTTCCTTGGTCCTTTGTGGCTTCCTGTTGAGCTCTGACTTGGTGTCCCGATGGTTGTGAGAGTGTGTGCGTGTGTCTGTATGTGTGGGTGGGTGGGAGAGTCTCTGTTAAATGTGGGCTTGGAGGGTGGGTGGGTTGGTGGGGTTTTTGTACTTTGTATTTTATTCTGTATCCCCTGATCCTTCCGTTTGTATCCCCTGTGTACAGCACTTTGTGATACAAGTTTATGTATGAAAAGTGCTTTATAAATAAAGTGATTGATTGATTGATTGATTAATTGATTGATTTTGAAATTTACCAGATGACGTGCGGTTTTTCATGCTTGACATCCTGTCTAGAATGATCTTCTCTGTGTAGATTGAAGCATGTTGGAAGCGTAGAGCAGCGAAAATAGACTCAGGGCATATCTTTAGCAGAGCTGTGCTCGATACACTTCTGATACTGAGCTGATATGCGTCTTGTATGCAATGTTACATTGATTAGCATTGAAACCTATTTGTTGCTACGCAACACTGACAGAGCGTCTTCAATAGCTGCAGAGTAAAGTTATGGTACTTAACATTCATCCCTGTGGCGCTGCAATAACATTATTCCACAGCTGACTGAATTTCTGCTTTCTGAGCACTATTTCTTCAACTTTTTATAACTTAACTTATTCTTTAACTTCTCATAAGTCAAATCGAAACATTCCTCAATAAGACCACCATCCCGACAGAGACAGCCTATGGTGTCCTCCTAGTTTCGACATTAAGAGTACTGATAGAAAATCTGTTTTGTACAGATTTTTGATGGACTGGATCTAGACATTTTGTAGGAGAAAGAAATGGCAAACTCTACCTGGACTGTGAGGATGGCATCTTTGAAGGATGGCAGATGGTCCTCCATTTCTTTGCTGTTCATGACGAGTTTTAGTCCTTCTATAAGGCTACTTCCTGCGAGGGTATTGCCAGTATTACCAAAGCTGCTGCTGCTGCTGCTGTGACTGGGACTCTTCTTTCTCTTCCTGTCTTTGCCTCGGCTCGTTTCTCTACTGCTACTATGTGACTTGGACCTCCTGGCCCGGCTCTTGCTTCGTATGTGACTGTTCTTGCTTCTGCTCTGGCTCCGGCTCCTACTTCTCGCCCTACTTTTGCTCCTTGCCCGGCTCTTGCTCCTTGCCCGACTCTTTGCACGAGCGCGACTTTTGCTCCTTCCTCTGCTTCGGCTGCGTGCTCTGCTTTTGCTTCGTGCACGGCTCCTGGCTCGAGATCTGCCCCAACTTTTGCCACGACTCCGACTTCGGCTTCTGCTCCTGGTCACATGCTTCTGGAACTCAGGGTCCAACTTGATGGCTTCTTTCAGGACACTGGCAGACTTAAATGCTTCAGCCAGGTTGTAAGCCATGTTACCTTTGAGGTAGTCTGGGAGGGGCTTGTTTGCTGCAATACATCTCAGAAATTCCTCCCCAGCTCGGTCACTGAAAATCAAAAACACATGTGCTTCAAACACCTAAATCTAAATACTACTTCGATCCAACTGTTCCAGTTCAAACTCATCCAAGCTGTCATGAACTTTTCATAAACATTAACAAAAACGTCTACCTGCTGTCAGTGGGCTGGTGGTCCACAGGATGGGGGTTCCACTGTGGGGCCTGTGGTGGTTCTGCTGGAGGAGGGATCTGCTGCCTACCCCCCAAAGGAGCTGTACTATGGTCTACAGAGAAGCTGCTACAATGGGGCTGAGAGTGTTCAGAATTCATGTTATTTAACTAGACTAGACATTTACTGTTACAAACAGCTCCTGTACAAACAATGACAACAATGTACAATATTTTGACATTTGACTAGGAGTCATTTCAGTCTTCAGTCTACTGGTGGCCTGAAATATAAATTAAAGCTCTGAAAATACAACCAGCAGAAAGCAGCGGTCAGAGTTTTGCTGCACATGTGTGGATGTTACAAAATGTAAACCATCTTTGGCATTTTCCAGAGGATCGTGGCCATAGTATCTGCCTGCATTTAAGAAAATATCTGACAACCAGTTTCCTTACAGTGTCAGCTGCTTGTGAAAATCATCTTTTTAGAGTGTACATGATTCGACTGTATTCACAAGAGCTACAGTACAAGGAAACCATTCAAGTCTGCTGAGACTGCAGGCAGCCTTGTCAGAGTGGCTGCTGTCAGGCAATGTTAACATCCTGTTAAATGACATTTTCCCATCCTAAATAACAGCGGAGCTAACCTGAAACAGTTTCTGTTTAGTGCCTAAAATCTATTCAAGATGTAAATGCTGTTTGACACAATACAATACAATACAATACAATAAGGATTGCTGGAAGAGGCGGGATTTATGACCAATACTGCAGCCCATCACCAGAGGGTGTTGTTCTTGGGAATGGCTTCACCAAGCGAGGAGGCACTCTTTATACAGTCTATGGATGACACCCACTGGTTTCTGAGTTCTGAAGCTGTTTCAATGGTAAATCTTAAAGAGCTGTGAGCAACATGTCTGCATTATATCTGAATTAATTTAAATGATATGATTGAGTTTCTGTTTGTGGGCGGGGCTTGCTGGAGCAGAGAGGGAGGAGAGAGGAGGAGCTGAAGGGAAAACTGGTTGGGAGGGGTAGTGTTTACATTCAAGACTTCTCCCAAAAACTGACACTTCCTCAGATCCTGTCTACCCCACCATTTACTATAACGTTAGCTGCTCCGCTATTTTAATTCACCAATAACTATAACTCTCTTTGTATGTCCCCTCAGCCTCTCATCTGTTACCACAATAATATGTAATTATTTTGTAATTATTGTTACACATAAACCAATTACTTCAAATGATCATATAACAGAGAAGTTTTTATCATAGACTGTATATAGAATGGACAGAGTCTGCCTCCTCACTAGGTGAAGCCACTCCGAGAACAGCACCCTTTGTTGAGGGGAATGCAGTATAGGTCATAAATCCCGCCTCCACCAGCAAAGTTTATGGGGCTGTGGACAAACTTTAGAAATTTATTACACAGAACATAAATTTTTCTCCCCCCTGCTTGTGATGTTGACATGTAGTTACAGTAAGACTGGTTTGTGCTCAAGTCCTCTTTTTTCTGTACAGTTATTAGGGGATTCATGTTCTCTTTGATTGACACCTGATACAGCCTATGGGCGTTCAGGGATTGTGTAGCTCTCCTGGGGGGATACGTTGTTTGAGCAGAGCGTCATCACGGCGACTCTTGGCGACTGCGCGCCCAAATGCACGCATTGCTACTGCACAGTGCTGGTTTCAGGAAATGAGGAAAAACCCCGGAAATACAGAGAGGTATTTGGCTTCAAATCCGTATACAGGCGGTAGGCGGAACCAAGTTGTCTAGAGTATATACAGTCTATGGTTTTTATCTGTCGCTGACTTAGCCAGTGAGTCTTGAAGTTGTTTTCAGACCTAACTCTCAGTCAGCTTACAAACTAAGAGGTGAAGCTGCTGTAGATGGTTAGCCTCCTGGCCTCTAGCTAATTAAGCAATGCCCCCAATGAATTATTCAGATATTCACCTCTTTAAGTGATTTAGATTAAAGAAATTAACTCCTGAGACCACAACCATTTTTCCGTAAAAAATAGGCTTTTAAAGGAAGTGTTAATGGGGATTTCTTGGCATTTCGAGACAGCCTCACATGGACACACTAGAGTTTCTCTTGGCACCTAAACAATATTTATAGATCAGGAACTGGGGCATCAGATGTAATCATTACAGTTGCAGGCTCTACTAAAGATCTCATAACTTCTTATTCTGCCTCTTATTACCAACCTGCTTTTTCTTGGCAACCTCAGGCTGGTGCTGAGTAATCAAGCTGCCAACCCTTTCAACAAACTACCTCATTTTTTTGTAGTTAACAAGGATGGGTGATAAATTACTGTTCACGATATATCGTCAGACAAATCCTCCATGATAAATATTTGCCATCTCATGATAAATACAATATGCAAGTTGATGACAGAAGCGCGAGCGACAGACTTGCAGCCATAGCCCACACAGAGCAGAATAACAAACAAACTTAAAGTAATGAAGAAGACGTTTCTGAGCAGCTGGTTACTGAACGAGACTCCACATAAGGGATTTCCTTAAAGATTAGGATTTAGATGAGTGCAATCAGGTCTGCCTAACATCGGACAGTGGATCTGCTGCTGTTCACTCTGTGCAATAAGAGTTTTCAGCAAATGTTGAAAATGATTTCACATTTCAGACTTGTTTGATGTCATTAGTTTTCTCCATAACCTACCACTTAAACTTGTGGTTAAGTATCTTATTTGACAACTCCAACTGGTGTTCTCAAGACAAAATGAGTCAAAAATATAGATTGGAATTATAATATGTTTTATAGGGACTTTTATGAATGGCAAATCTTACCGTGTTAATTTTTTTAGCCCATATAGCCCATCCCTAGTGAGTATCCACCAGCATGAAAAAACCCCGGACAGTACAAGGTTGTAATCATCACAAGGTACAGACCTCTAAACCCCATGACCCAGTGATATGCACGAATATTAATCTGTTGCTCTGTTTTGGCTCTGTAAATGTTAAGATGGGTGATGTGCTGCATCCCAGTGAGGAACCAGGGTGCCACACTTAGAACCAAAGGACCGGTATGAAATAAGGACAGAAAAGGGTTTCCTTTCAACTCTCTGATATATTTGGCAGTAACATCATTGAGTCCTCTTTGAGAGATAAAACAGGGACAGCACACACACATACACACTTGTGAAACAAATCATACGCAGAGCGTGGCACAGGAATGAACCGTCCACATAACAGAACAGAAACAGTAACTCAAAACCTTACAGTATACCTTTGGAAACATTATTTACAGCATCATTTTGCCCTGTCAGCAGGCAGCAAACACTGAGGGAGAAACAACTATTGAATCAATGATGGGGTTTGAATTGGACTTCCATAAACTGTAAATACTTAATAATGAAAAAGAAATGCTTGCATGTGGTCTTGAGGGACCATTAATCCAGAGTTTAAGAGTCAATAATGGGCAAAGCAAGGAATATTCATGAAATTAAAGTGATCTTAACAACTTACAGCGATTTTACAGCTCGGACTCATTCATCGACACTGTAAACTCTACAGTAAATATCTGACGGATTAAATGTTCTGAGGTGCAACAAAGAAAGCTGTTTAGATGAGCCAGAGTTTTCTGTTTACAACACAGCTAGCGTATTTAACTTCTCACTCCATGCAAGGTGAGTTTTAGTTTCATAAAGCTTTGATTTGGAAAAAAAACAAAACAAAACAGCAATACCTAGCTTTACTGGACCTTTAATGTCATTCAACTTGAGCAACACACATATTTATTCCGGCTGTTATAAAACTAATCTAACAGTGAGTGTATATTTCATAATTCACCACAGTCAGATTTCTGTTCAATTCTAACGCAGCAGTCACAAACAGACTCTTAAAGAGGGTTTTACGCTGAAACAGCTGTCAGGATCCAGTTTCTTCTCTGGGTTTTGACTTCCAGCAACCTTTTCACTTTTTATCATCAGTTCAGGCTCCGGCTCTTCCCCCACTTTAGCTCCACATTTACAATTTTCCACACAAAAGGCTGCTCTCACTTTTCTGCCAGAGGATCCATGTTAAACACTGGGTTTCCAGGTTTTTCAGGTCTTGTATTGACATATTTAAAACATTGTGTTTCATAGTTAATTTCAGTAACCAGGAAACAATGTTTTTGCATCAATTGCTGTTTAAAACTGACCCTAAAATTTGCAAGTAAGCATGAAGAGTCCATCTGATTGTTCACTCAAGTATGAAATTTAGATTGAACAGGTTCGTGTTTCAAAGAAATGATCATCTCGACTTATAATGTATGAGTTCTTTCACCTCAAACCATCTTCAAAAAAAGTAAAACTAAAAAAAAAAAAAACATTTGCAAATCCTACATTGGCCTAGTAATGTTACTTAAATTCACAAATGATTACAGAGAACATGAGAGAAATCTGTAAACCATACATGGAGAACAGCTATTTACACAGAAAGTATGTCTAACTATGCACAAAACAAGACATAGAAATGTCAAGTATCTATATGCCGTTAACTAGGGAACTGCAGGAAAGTTGGAAGCTGAAACAACGCCAGCTCGTAAAACTCTGTGTCTCAGCAAATCACAGTGAATGACTGATGAGCTCTCTTCTCTGCATCCTTCAAGCCTCCCTTATTTGGAGGCAGTAGAAATGTGCTGCCAACATCTTTCTGCTTGGTCCAACAGTTCAGTAAAGTTTTTTTTTTGTTGTTGTTTTTATTTCCAGCTGCAAAATATTTGATGTGATGTTAATGATATTCTCTGTCAAACCAAGGAGTCACAACAGATATAAAATGTGATTTGCATAAATCAAATACGGTAAACTCAACAGTAAACTAGAGTTCATTGTAAGTTATAACCACAGATATCTGCTTTAAAAGTAAGTGTTTAATTGAGGTTTAATTCTATGTCAAATGATGCATATAATTAGCTCACAAATAACCTTGTCTATTTTCACACAACAGAATAAAGAAAAGGCTTCACTTACTTACCTACGCAGATGATGCAAGCAGTTGATTTGTTACATCTTGAAAAAATGTGACCGTACTGTATGTCACAAGGAAAATGGAAATTCTTTCGACGGTAAATGCATCGCAAGCAAAAAATGAAAATTCACTAATAAAAAAATGGAAATATGGTCTTTAGTTGTTGGTTAGTTTTACATGTGTTGTGGGTCCAGATTACAAATAGTAATCCATCTCTCTCTGGGTCAGGTGGGTTATGGTGCTGAGTGTCAGTAGTCAAAACAATTCAGCCAACCCACCCCAAAGAAAAGACTTTTATGAGACAGTCTAACAGCAGCTGTGATTGTGTGCCTCTTTCAATAATTTCTTACCTACCAATAACCCTTAAGCATGTAAGACCTAACAAGTGCACATCTTTGAATTAAGAAACACTGATAATGGTCCTTTAATTAAGTCCTTACCTAATTATCTCCTTGGGGTTCACAAGGATGGATAAGCTGTTAACCTGTATTAATTAGTAGATTATGACTTAGTAATTGTTTTCTAATGGAATTGATGCCGCATTCAATTCACTATACCTGCTGTAATGCCTTCTCTCTAATTTAGAACAAAACTCCAGCATTACCTAGTTGACAGAGTGAAAGGCCTGCATTAGAAACTTGGTTAGCATTACTATTTCCTTCTCTGAAACACACATTAGGAATACATATGTACAGTACATACATAAAGCAGTATACATTTAACTAAATCCTTAATATTAAGTTTCATCTTCACAGTTAATTTTTATACTGATAGTTTCTTCAACCTGTTTCTGAGTTGTGCATAAAAGAACAAAAAAAAAGTTGTATTGATCTGTTTGTATACATGCTGCATAATTTTGTCATTGCATCATACAGCTTGAGGTTTCTGAGCATATCTGCATTTTAACAAAGATGTAGTTGGGAGTTATACTTAAATCCTTGTAGTTAGTTCTCATATATAAGTGGGGCGCAGCGCCCCATACATACCGTCATGGAAAAAATTATTAGACTACCCTTGTCTTGTTCATTTTCATGCCTGATACCACTAAAGGTATTTTACCAATGGGTGTAACAGGGCACATGCAGTTGTGTGAAGGGGAAATGAATGAACCAGCTGATAAACTCTTTCCTGGCTTGAATGACTGGATTTTCCAAAAAGACAATGCCCCTTGCCACACAGTAAGGTCAATTAAAGCCTAGGTGGAGAACCAAAACATTTGAACCATGCCTTGGCCTGCTCAATCACCAGATCTAAACCCAACTGAAAACCTGAGGAACATCATCAAACTCAAAATGGAGAACCACAAGCTAAAAAACCAAGAAAATTTGGTAGAAATTTTGCAACAGGAATGGGCTGCTGTGACAGCGGAACTATGTCACAAGCTGGTGGAGAGCATGCCAAGACACATGGCTGCTGCAGTCATCAGACACAATGGTTATCCAATCAAGTACTGACGCTTGTCTGTATCATGTGACCGACAGACAGAAGAGAAAACATGGAATGCCTAAAATCTCTGTTTTTGACAGAACAATGCCATAGCTATTGATTAAGAACTCCAGTGATTTTGGTTGTTTCTAAGAAAACCATGGAAAATGGCTCAATATCAGCTCTTAAATTAAACTTTTATGAGCTATTTTTAGTTATCATTATATTTGTCCCAACAAACGAACTTTAGTTGTACCAGACATTAAAATGAACAAGAAATTGAAGAAAACAAAGGTGGTCTAATTATTTTTCCATGACTGTATATATTTGGCTACATATTCAGAGGACATATCTAACTGTAGGTGATAGTTTTTGATGACTTAAGGCAGATTTACTATCACAAACTGCATGGAGAGTCTCTCTTGGTCTTCTTTCATCTGCTGATTTCACAGACAGTTGGTCAAAGACAAAAATGGTCTAAAAAATCTTGTTTGGATCTGTCTGAGATCACTGGTGTGAAATCTCAATTTCTTTAGTCACTGGTTTCTCGTGTGCATTAGGGGTCATTCCATGTCAATTCAACCAAGAATTGCCACTCACAACACAGATTTTGATGAAATTTGGTGGATCAGAAAAAAATTATAAAAGACCAAAAACTTAAATTGGAAATAGCAAAAAATGCGCGTCCTTCAATTTTCTTCATATTCACACTAAAGAAAGACTATCATGTCCACTAGCATCCCTGCAAGTTTCAGGATGGGCATTCCATAACTTTTTGAGTAATCAGTCAAAATGTGTGGTACGTTAGGTTGTAAATCGCCATATTTGGCACATTATACAGTCCTTACCTCATCTGGAGTCAGCCCCACTTGCCTGCTTGTGTAAAATATTACTTCCTCATAGTGTAAAATGCTTTTTTTGAGTTTTTCATTTGTATGTTATCCCATATTTACATGAAAAATGGCTACAATAGCTTATTTTTGCTCAGTTTTCCATCGCATTTCATTTGCATTTGCACCTATATCCAGAATATGAATGATCTTAGCTTCATGGGAGAATCATTTGGACATACCTGCATGTCCTGGATCCTAGGGTTGACAAATAACTTCTACCTATGCACCCTGAAATTTTGTTGCTGGTTTCCCTGTGAAGTATTCAAGGGTATTTATCCTGAGCCCGATTTGCCTCTGCTCCAAAGTGCATCAAGAAATTGAGTCTCAGACTACATCTATCAAGCACTTTGTTGGTCATACACTCACACACCATCAAGTTCAAGAAGCTGTACAATAAATGAACACCATGCTGAAGGCAAAGACAGCTTTCCTTTTGCATCAAAAATCATGCTGCAACCCATTTGGTGAACATGTCAAACCAAAAACAGCTGGGTTGAGGGCTGTAACAAGGAAAGCTATCGCAAATCATCCTGACTTAAACTTAAGGTTGGGACAGAAGATTTGTGACATTTGCCGAAAGAAAATGATGAAACGTCATGTAGAAACAGTTGATCAGGAAAAATCCCCAACCACAGAAAGCAATGATACTATTGATGCTGACAAATATTCTCCAAAGCCTGGCTGCTCTGAAGACTCTGAATATCTTTCCCAGAGGGCTGAATTGAGCATTTTAAATCAGTCACTGCAATTAATTGGAGAATCACCTGTATGGACCATAACACGGAAAAGAGAGAGTGACAAGTATCTAAAGATGAAATCAAAGAAAATAGGTGATACTGTGAAAAAAAGACTGGAATATACTACAGGGAAATCATCAACAAAACTCCAGGATGCAGGAGTGGAAATGATTGAGCAACTCAAGGATAAGTTCCAATCAACTAAACAGAAAAGTGAAAAGGTACAAGACCTCACTGTTCTCTCTAAGAGCTGGACAGTAGCTGAAATCAGGGAGGAGTTCAGTGCAACAAACTACATGGTGAAGAAAGAAAAAGCATTAGTAAAAGAGGAGGGCATTCTAGCAATGCCTAACCGAGGTCCGGGAAAGTATTGTCAAAGATGACTGAGGATATGGTACAAGCATTCTATTTGTCCGATTCAGTGAGCAGACTAATGCCTGGCATGAAAGACTACATTTCTGTCACTGTGGATGGAATAAAGCAACATGCGCAAAAGCATCTCATACTTTGCAACCTACATGAAGCATATGAACTCTTTAAAGAATTACATCCTGACGTCAAAGTTGGATTCTCCAAATTTGCTGAACTCCGTCCAAGGCAATGTGTTCTAGCAGGTTCCAGTGGGACACACTCAATTTGTGTGTGTACAACACACCAGAATATAAAGCTCATGTTCACTGGATGTAAGTTAGACTCTGTGACCAAGGGTGAGTTCAAGCACTACCGTCACTGTCTTGCTGTTATTCGGTGCAATCCACCTCGTATTGAGTGCTTTTTCGGCAAATGTTTGCAGTGTCCAGGAACAGACAGGCTAAGAGAGAAACTTGAAGAAATATGCAAGAAGACATGATTGTTCAAATTCAGTACAAACAGTGGACATCAACAGATAGGTCAAACCTAGAAACGAGGGTCCAGACAGTTCCGGAGTTCATGGAGTCTTTCGAAAGCAGCCTTTGTAAACTTTTGCTCCATGACTTCATTGCAAAACAGCAAGCGTCTTGCCTTCAAAGTCTGAGACGTAATCTGGAGCCTGGTGTCTTCCTGGTCATCGCAGACTTCGCGGAGAACTATAGCTTTGTAGTACAGGATGCATCTCAGTCATTCCACTGGAACAATCTCCAGGCTACAATCCATCCGTTTGTTTATTATTACAAGAGTGATGAACAAGACTCACCTGTACATAACAATCTCGTCATCATTTCAGAATGCAATATTCATGACACTGTTGCAGTTCACCTTTACCAAAAACTGCTTGTTCAGTTCCTAACCAACAGTAATGGACAGAGCCCTAGAAGGATTTGCTACTTTTCTGATGGCTGTGCTGCACAGTACAAGAATCTGAAAACTTCATCAATCTGTGTCACCATGAGGAAGACTTTGGCATACCAGCTGAATGGCATTTCTTTGCGACCTCTCATAGTAAGGGACCATCTGATGGACTTGGAGGGACAATAAAAAGGTTAGCAGCCAGGGCTAGTCTACAAAGACCATATGAAAACCAAATCACCACCCCTCAACAGCTTTTTGAATTTGCACAGTCAGAGCTGAAGAACATCAACTGCCAATTTGTGAGCACTGAACAGTACAAGCAGGAGTCTCAAATCCTGAAGGACAGGTTTGAAGTTGCTCGCACAATTCCTGGCACCCAGAAATTACACTACTTCTGTCCGATATCGAAGGAGAGAGTCAAAGTCAAAACATTCTCATCTTCTGATGAATACAGGGATGAGCATATTAGTGTAACACCAGCGGTGAGCAGCGTCTCAGCCATAAATGGCTATGTCACAGTGGCATATGACAACCTGTGGTGGCCTGCATGTGTGAAAGAAAGCATACCAGAAAGCCATGAATTGCAGGTTACCTTCCTCCATCCACATGGACCAGCCAAATCGTACACATTCCCTGAACCACCTGACATTCTGACAATTGACTATCATGATGTACTCACATCAGTTCATCCAGTCACTGCCAAAGGATGCACATATTCTGTTTCTGATAAAGAGACTAAGGGTGCTACAACTGCCCTGAAAAAAAACTAAGGGCCTAAATCAAGATGTACAGGTATGTAAGAATGACATTCACTTTGAACCCAAGATGACACTACAATCTAAGGTATTATCTGTGTGGGCCATATTGAATCAAATGTGATGAAATTCTTGGGTTAATGGGCTATTTAGGTCATTTTTAATTTTAGGGAGGGAGGGATTATGCAAATGAGTCCAATCATGTTTTGACTAATTGCTCAGAAAGTTATGAAATGCCCATCCTGAAACTTGCAGGGATGCTAGTGGACATGTTATCTTTCTTTAGTGTGAATATGAAGAAAATTGAAGGACGCGCGTTTTTTGCTATTTCCAATTTAAGTTTTTGGTCTTTTATAATTTTTTCTGATCCAATTTGGGAAAAAAATGTTATGAACAAAAAGATAGAACTTGAGGAGAGCTTTAAAATGACACCCGAATCAGCTCTCTATGTGCCATACTTCTAGAGATATGAACACTTGTGTAACGCATGTCATGCTACTTAGCCAAAAATTCGTTAGCCCCTATCTCACTAATTAAATGGCTTTGAACAAAAATATTTGAGATCTGACAGTTTCTCCTCAAGGCCAATCACACCACCAAATTTCATTAAAATCTGTGACGGGAGTGGCGATTCTTGGTTGAATTGACATGAAATGACCCTTAGGAGACTTTCCCTGATCATCTCACACAACACTGTATTGTTTTACAACTGGTTGAAGTTACCAATGAGTACAATCACTTTCGGATCATAAAGCGTTGGTCTTTCCAGTAGAAAAAGTACCTGTTGTGTGTGTGACTAAATACACCCTCATAATGCAGAGTTTGAGATCTAATTATAGCAGGCCCCTTCATGAGTGTGTATATCATTTAACTGTCTGCTCTATTAGCATCATGCTAACAAGCCCTCATGCAAACCACATCCTGTTAGCACACTAACTTAGCGAGCTCCTTATCGTCAACGTTTGGGTACCTACACTGATCAAATGCCCCAGTGGTCTGCTGTGAAGAAAATCCGGTGGGGGTACCGAAAATGGTCCACACGGTCCAGGGGGGAAGTGTCTGGGAGGAGGACCACCACAAGGCCCGCCGCGTCTGTACGGTGGGCCATGGTGTGGTGCAGGTCCGAACGGCGGCGGCCCTTTTGGAGGTTCACCCCGACGGTACATGTCCTGGTTTAAGACGGTATCCCGTTCCGAGGAGGGAGAACCTGTTTTAAAAGCAGCAGTTTTTCAACTAGTGAATTTTTTTCATGCAACGATCAGTTTCCAGTTCGCATTTCTGCAGCAACCAAACCGACCAATGAAAACAAACACGCCAGTGACACTACTTCTTCTTCCTCCAGCTGTCAACCAGCATGTATGTCCAACACCACCCCTACCGAGCTGGAGTGTAGGCCAGCCGAACTATTCCAACCATAGACTGTATCAACCAACTGATTTACCAACAAAATTATTAACTAAATAAATGAATGAGACTAGGAAAGTTAAATTCGGATTCCTCTAATCACTTTTGTTATACCTCACTGGCATGGCTCTCATGTTTTGAACTTAAGTTGTTGGTGCGAGATATTTTTTATTATATATCTATTTTAATTTTATTTTTCTTTAAGGGGGCCGAGGTGAAGTGAGTAAAAAGATAATGTATAAGTAGCCAATATTAATCTAATAAAGAACAAATTCCTTCAAACTAACTACATTGAACAGCACTGGTCATTGGCTGCATTCATTAACGCTAACCTGAACATGCAGACAGCATATCAGAGTGTGCATTTACATGACAGTTCAAAACAGAAACTCAATTACTTTCTAACAAGAATAAGAAGAACTTTAGATATAATGATAAACTGGAAATGTTTCTAAGACTGTATTCTTTACAGGGTAGCTAAAATGTAACAGCTTATACTGATCATTATGGGTTATTCAGGATGGGGTCGGGGGCTGTCATAGAAATGAAGGTGGAGGTAGACTGGGTTTATTACAGAGTTATATTTACTGAAAGACTACCTGTGGACAATGAAGTTCACAGGGGTCAGACTACCTGTGGACAATGAAGTTCACAGGGGTCAATACAACACATGTGACGGTTGTATTTGGGTAAGATTGTTTAACATATTGAGCATGGACTTATTTTACCTGTCTTGGACTTATGTACTTATTTTAGTTTTTACTTGTATGTCTTATTGTCATAAGACTGTACATTGATTTTGCCTTTTTCCTTTCTTCTGTTTTTTAATTTGGTATTGTAAAAAAAATAAATTTAATAAAAGTTGAAGTATAAAAAAAAGGAAAAAGAACTTTATTTATCCTCAAAGGGAATTTCAATTGTCTGTAGTTTTATTTATCATGTCTCAAGAAGTCATCTACTATTTATAGAATAGTCGATGTTCATTAATTTATAGTCCGAGCCTTTGATTAACTGTTGTTCCTCACCTGATTTTGGGCTTCCACTTCCCAGCTCTTCTTTTGCCTGTTCACACAAATTGAGAACCTCATCAAATGCTGCTCAGGATGCTAAGAAGTCCAAAACACACCTCCAAAAGCACCTCTCATCCTTGGCAGTGGCCATCGTCACCATGGCAATAGGTGCATATTGATTTTGCTGGACCATTCACAAACTCTATGTTCCTGATTGCTGTTGACACTCATTCTAAATGGCCAGGGGTTATTAGGATGAAGTCAACATCTGAAAAGAGGGTAGTTGCTCTCAGAACCATCTTTGTCAGGAATGTACTGCCAGAACAGATTGTCAGTGATAATGGACCACAATTCACCTCAGAAAAATTCAAACAGTTTATGAAGAGAAATGGCATCATTTTGCATCAGCCCTTCGTCATTCAGCTACAAACGGCTAAGCTGAAAGAATTGCCCAGACATTCAAAAGGTCCATTACAGCTATGGAAAAAGATGACATTTCCCTTCAGTGTAAGGTGGACAATTCGCCTACAGAACCTCTCTTCACTCGACTATGACCAAGACACCTGCCATGCTCATACGAAGCAGAAACCTCAGATCTTGCATTGACCCTCTGAAACTGAGTCTCCGGAGTAACACAAAAGATAGGTCACCACCTTTGGACCACTTTGGACCACTGAACGTCCAGTACAGTCTTTTGTCTCTTTAGTCCAGGTGAGACTCTTTAAACGTGTCTTGACAGTAGGACTTTGACACATGTATTCTATTTCCTGGGCCAGTCTGTGTGTAGCGGCTCTTGGCGCTTGGACTCCAGTCTCAGTCCAGTTCCTGTGAAGTCCCCCCTAAGTTTTTGAATCTACTTTGTCAGTCCTCTGAAGACTGCTCTTAGCCCTGTTTCCCAGTCTCCTTCTCTTCCCTCACTTTCCCCTTCAGTCAACTTTCCTGAATCTAATTCATACAGACTCTGTGAACAGCCAGACTCTTTAGCAGTGACCTTCTTTACTGACCCAGAGTGAGAGAGTAAAGTCTCAGTAAACCTTTACAGGTGTTCAGAGTTCATCAGCTGATTAGAGACTTTTTCAGGACTGAAGTAACTGACAAGAAACTTTTACACAATATTCTGATGATTGGAGATGGTGGGTTTTTGATTTCCTTGAACTGTAAGCCATAATCATCAATATTTAAACAAAACCTTGAAATGGTTCACTCTGTGAGTGATGAATCAAGAATATCTGTAAGTTTCACTGTTTGAATTAAATTATGGGGAAAAAGTACAAATGTGCCGCTTTCTTGGTTATGAGCCAAACTTAGTGAAGAATTCATTCATGACTTGATATTGTAAGCCTCATCACTGTATTCACTCACGCACTCGGTTATCAATCCACAGAATAAAGAAAAGATCATAATGCTCTCACTTTAGATTTTATTTCTCATTCACACAATCATGCAAACCTTTCAACATCGATATTTTTATGCACACAATCTTCTTTCCGCAGAACAAGGATGACTTCCTCTGAATAAATAACACAGGCGATTCCAGTCAAATCAACAAAACAAAGTCAAAACTGAAAAGGTGCAGCTGTTTTCAAGTAACCTTCAAATGCATTGGGATGATCAGGGATTTTGAGAACCTTGTATGTTTTAGTGATAATCACTTCTGAGGTTTATTACATGGTAGCTGCACACTAACTCTAAGCAACTTTTCTGTGTTTGTCAGAAGAATAAATTGAAAATAAGGCTAATTTATTGTCAGAAAAAGGTCAGAACAGCAGAGCCCAAGTCATCAATCAACCAGCAACAGAAGTGTCAGTTTGAACATTGAGGAGGCAGGGTAAACAGTAACACACCAGTATGGAAAAAAAAAAACAATACCAGACTACATTAGAACGGCTATCTGTAGTAAAGCAATAACTGCAAAACTGTCTGTGATGACTTTACACAGTACGTGTGTGTCAACATTAGAAAAATGTTGAAACTCTCAGATTGAATCATAAGGCATTTATTAGCAGTCAGTATTTCAGTGGACTCTGCTGCAGTGCCCTGCACTGTCTTCAACTGGTGTAATGTCTGCCTTGATTAAAGCCGGCCTGGTTGTAATTCTGCCCTCCATGTTGGAAGAACTGTTCAAACTGTCCTCCTTGGTTAAAATTCTGGCCTCCCCTCCCTCCCCAGCCTCCCCCTTGTCCTCCGCCTCCCCCTCCTCGACCCCCTCTTCCTCTGCCCCCTCTACCACCTCGACCCCCACCTCTCTCCTGATGCCTACCACCATCCTGATGGTAGCTGTCATGGTAACCACCTCCAGCTCCCCCTCCTCCATGGAAGCCAGAGTCCTGAAAGCCTCCTTGGTAGTTCCCCCCTCCTCTCCCCCCTCCCCCTTGATAACCTCCTGCATCTTGAAAGTGGCCTTGATTGTAACTGCCTCTCCCCCCTCCTCCTCCTCCATCTCCCCACCCTCCCTGCACCTTCCCACCTCTTCCTCTGCCACCCCTCTCTCCATGGCCTCCTCCGCCTCCTCTCTCATATCCTCCATGGCCACCTTGGGAATAGTGATCATAGCCTCCCCTGCCACCTCCATGTCCCCCTCCGCCATAATGTCCTCCACCTTGGGGAGGATCCTGACGCTTCTGCCAGGAGGGCATCTCTGGAGGCGGAGCCTCAATCTCACAGGGACGACCTCCCCTGTCGGGCACTCTGCCCATGAGGACCTGACAAAGGGACATTGGTTGAAAATAACCGTAGCACAGAAAGCCAGAACAGAGAGTCATACATTTGTTCAAACATCACCTGAAAACATAAATGGAATCATCAACAGTGTCTCACCTTGTTGATGGCACACGCTGTCTTCTCTCTGATTTTTCCGCTGCTCGTGCGGAGGATCTTGGAGAAATCTTGTCGAGCAGCAAGAAGGTGGGCAACGGACATTTTACTCTTGGAGGCGAGGGCAGAGCGCAGTGGTTGGTAAACTTTGGCCAACTTTTCAGCATGTGACTGCAACAATATGATAAAGAAAGTCTCATTAAGTTTTGGATTAGATCACAGTAAGTACTGATTGAATTACTTTGTGTACAGTTTGTTCAGCTCGTGGCAATTCTTGCTCTTCATCAGGACAGGAAAGCCCTCACTTAAATGTTGTCTAACTACTCTGTTATTTCCCGACTACCTGAACTAGTAGTAGACTGTGTTTAACACTTGATCCTGATTGGTTGAAACCCCCACAACAAGTGTTGGTCAAGTGACTTTGAAATAGTAATTATTTAGCAATTAGTGATTACTTCTCCAAGAAAGTTATCCTGTTACTTTACTAATTACTTATTTTCAAAATTAATAAGTTACCTAACTAATTACTTTACTAAGTTACTTTTCAAAAACATGACGCACAACCTGAATACCGAGACATTTTAGCCTAATTCTATTCATTTTGCATATTCCATCATACAAAACTGAATCAAGTTAAGAGTCACTTTTTTAAAACTTGTTTTATTCGTTTGAATCTTTTCACTTTGTGCACATTGCATTGCACAGTCTCTGACTTGAAATTGTGAAACATTTAAACCCCTTTTCTGCACATTTCTCCAAATTTAATAGAATAAAGCCAGTCCTTCTTCTGTTCACTTATATTTCACCATTTAGTGGCACTAAGTCCTGTTGCTCTTAAGTCTGTTTTCACCTGTTTAGCAGGAGAAGGGCCCTCAGAATTGGATGTGGTAGCAGCAGCGGTCATGTCAATGGGAGGATCTGGGGTTTTTGCAGTAAGTTTCACATTCCTGTGCTGGCTTGCTAAGTGCTTGCTCAGATTCGAGACAGAAGTTTTCGCTTTAGATAAAAGTTTTCTTCCCATGCAGAGTAAACAACATGCCAAAATTTTTTTGTCATCTTTTACCGAGTCAAACTCAAGATAATATCGGTACTTCAGAGCATTAAATGCTGCATGGTTCTGCTCTCTTCCACGCTCCACGTTGTCTCTGTTAATCACTACACATGTCTGTTGTTTACCACTATTGTCGCTCCTCTCATACGTCATTGTCACGACTCACAAGACAGTCTCACCCAACAAAAATCATGGTTTAGTTATGTTGTAATGCGGCCTGCTTGCTGGAAAGTAACAGTAATCTAATTACTGTTTTTGTAATTGTAATCCCTTGCGTTACTGTAATCGGATAACACATTACTTCTAACACGTTACTGCCGATCAGTGCCCACAATAACAGTGATTACAGTGCATCCAGAAAGTATTCATACCACTTCACTTTTTCCACATTTTGTTGTTACAGCCTTATTCCAAAATGGATTAAATTTCCTTTTTTCCCTCAAAAATTCTACACAAAATACCCCATAATGACAAAGCAAAAACCTTTTTTAGAACATTTTGCAAATGTATTAAAAATAAGACACTCATGTAGCATATCCATAAGTATTGACACCCTTTACTCAATACTTGGTCGAAGCACCTTTGGCAGCGATTACAGCCTCCAGTCTTCTAGTGTATGATGCAACAAGCTTGGCACACCTGGATTTGGGGAGTTTTTCCCCATTCTTTCTTGCACATCCTCTCAAGCTCAGTGAGGTTGGCTGGGCAGCGTTGGTGCACAGCTACTTTCAGGTCTTTCCAAAGATGTTCAATCGGGTTTAAGTCTGGGCTCTGGCTGGGCCACTCAAGGACATTCAGAGACTTGTCCTGAAGCCACTCCTTTGTCTTCTTGGTCGTGTGCTTAGGGTCATTGTCATGTTGGAAGATGAAGCGTTGCCCCAGTCGAAGGTCTCGAGCGCTCTGGAGCAGGTTTTCATCAAGGATTTCAATGTACTTAGCTGCATTCATTTTTCCCTCAATCCTGACAAGTCTCCCAGTTCCTGCTGCTGAAAAACATCCCCACAGCATGATGCTGCCACCACCATGCTTCACTGTAAGGATGGTATTGGCGAGGTGGTGCCATGTTTCCTCCAGACATGACGCTTGGCATTCAGGCCAAAGGGTTCGATCTTCGTTTTATCAGACCAGAGAATTTTGTTTCTCCTGGTCTGTGAGTCCTTCAGGTGCCTTTTAGCAAAGTCCAAGCGGGCTGTCATGTGCTTTTTACTGAGGAGTGGCTTCTGTCTGGCCACTCTACCATAAATGCCTGACTGGTGGAGTACTGCAGAGATGGTGGTCCTTCTGTAGGGTTCTCCCATCTCCTCAGAAGAACGCTGGAGCTCTGTCAGAGTGACCATCGGGTTCTTGGTCACCTCCCTGACCAAGGCCCTTCTCCCCCGCTTGCTCATTTTGGCTGGGCGGCCAGCTCTAGGAAGAGTCCTGGTGGTTCCAAACGTCTTCCATTTCTTAATGATGGAGACCACTGTGCTTTTTGGGATCTTCAATGCAGCATATATTTTTCTGTAACCTTCCCCAGATCTGTGCGCCGATACAACCCTGTTTCGGAGGTCTACAGACAATTCTTTCGACTTCATGGCTTGGTTTGTGCTCTGACATGCTCTGTCAGCTGTGGGATCTTATATAGATCTTTCCAAATCATGTCCAATCAGCTGAATTTGCCACAGGTGGACTGCATTCAAGTTGGCGGAACATTTCAAGGGTGATCAGTGGAAACAGGATGCACCTGAGTTCAATTTTGAGTTTTATAGCAAAGGGTGTGAATACTTATGTATATGCAGGGATTTATGAAGGAAAAAGGAATTTAATCCATTTTGGAATATGGCTGTAACGTAACAAAATGTGGAAAAAGTGAAGTGGTATGAATACTTTCCAGATGCACTGTAATTAAAAAAAAAAAAAAAAAAAAAGAATTAAAACTGCTAGTCTTGAGAGTGATGAAATAATGAGGGCTCTTGGGTTCGGATGTGAGATCAGCCTTCAGAAGCTACTGAACCTAAACTATTGGACAGAGAAAAGTGGAGTCACATCCTGTCCTCAAATGCAGGTCACCACAGCAGAGCCAGTCAGGGCGTATCAAGTCTCCACGTATTAACTTTGCATAACTGGTAGTGATGATGATTTTCTCCATTTAAAAAAAGCACAGACCAGTATACACATATTTTCAGTAACTAAGTAGCATCTTCACCATCTGTTGTAAGCATTTGTTTTTTGTTTTTTTTTGGATTCAGAAGGACTCACCTTTGCTCTGTCAGACCATCCAAATGACTGCACGGTCACATCCAGCCGTTTCAACAACATTTTTCTTCTCACTTCATACTCATTTACAAGTGCTTGGTTGATGGCTTCAATTTTTTCCTGAAAAAAAAAGAGAATGAAAGTTAATATAACAGTTATTTATTCATTTGTACTGTGCTAAGTTGCAGTATATCCCTCATTAGAGTTTTGAGTCTTTACCATGTGCACAGGTCCAAGGGGCTTCTTCATCAGAGGCTCCCCTACATGATTTGGTGGGACTCTACTGATGGCTTCTTTCAGCTGCAGGAATCGGACAACATGCAGGAGTGTTCATTAGTAATCTAAACTAAAACAGGCCTCTTGTGTGAGGAGCTACAGTGGATATAAAAAGTCTACACACCCCTGTTCAACTGCCAGGTTTTAGTGATGTAAGAAAATGACAGCAAGATAAATATATTCACAAATTTTTCCACCTTTAATGTGACCTATAACCTGTACAATGCAATTGAAAAACAAACTGAAACCTTTAAGGGGAAAACTAAAATATAGAAAAGTTAAAATAACCTGGTTGCATAAATATGCACACCCTTGAACTAATACTTTGTTGCAGCACCTTTGACTTTTATTACAGCATTTAGTCTTTTTGGGTAGGAGTCTATAAGCATGGCACATCCTGATGTGGCAGTATTTGCCCACTCTTCTTTGCAAAACCGCTCCAAATCTGACAGATTGCGAGGGCGTCTCCTTTGCACAGCCCTGTTCAGATCACCCCACAAATGTTCAATGGGATTCAGGTCTGGACTCCAAAGTATCAATCTTATTTCGGTGAAGCCATTCTTTTGTTGATTTAGATGTGTGCTTTGGGTCATTGTTGTGCTGAAAGATGAAGTTCCTCTTCATCTTCAGCTTTCTAACAGAAAGCCAAAGGTTTTGTGCTTACACTGACTGGTATTTGGAACTGTTCATAATTCCCTCCACCCTGACTAAGGCACCAGTTCCAGCTGAAGAAAAACAGCCTCAAAGCATGATGCTGCCACGACCATGCTTCCCTGTGGGTATAGTAATCTTTTGGTGATGAGCAGTGTTGATTTTGGCCCAAATATACCTTTTGCAATTATGTCCAAAAAGTTCAACTTTGGTTTTATCAGACCATAACACATTTTCCCACATGCGTTTGGGAGATTTCAGATGTCTTTGCAAAATTAAGCCGGGCTTTGATGTTTTTCTTTGTAAGATAAGACTTCTGTCTTGCCACCCTACCCCATAGCCCAGACATATGAAGAAGACAGGAGATTTTTGTCACATGTACTACACAGCCAGTACTTGCCAGAAATTCCTGCAGCTCCTTCAGTGTTGCTGTTGGCCTCTTGGTAGGTAAGAGGGTAGGCCTCTAGGTAATCTGAATGCAGCCATATCCCAGATATTAAAGGGTGTGCACACTTATGCAACCACATTATCTCAGTTGTTTATTTTTACTTCACCTCCCTGAAAGATTTCTGTTTGTTTTTCAGTTGTGTTGTACAGGTTATAGGTCATATTAAAGGTGGAAGAAGTTGTGAAATTATTTATCTTGATTTAATTTTTTTACATGACAAAAATCTGGCAGTTGAACAGGAGTGTGTAGACTTTTTATATCCAGTGTGTATCCTGGGGAAAATAAACACTGATAGACAAAAGCCCCAACTAACACTGCAACTACAATTTATAATCCCACAGAAAGACTTTCTGTGCAATCTTCTGTCATTGAACATGAATACAAAATCTTAAGGTTATCTAAAGTCAGTCAATCAAGGGTCCTTGTACTTGTCTCATTTCGTAGTACCTTTGTGGTTCCAGAAGTATTATCAGTAGGCCTTACTCTATACAGCAATAGAGGGCTGAAACAGGCAGAAAAACAACCCCTCGAATGACACCCTGGATCAATTGTTGGTAATCTGATGATGCTGTTCAAGTTTTGAGCAAGATTCAGATTCCTGTGGTTATTTTTTAGTTCCTTGTGTCACATTTTAAGAAATGATCACCTTGACAGACCAACTCACCTTCTTCTCGATCCCACTGAAGAACTGGAACATGGTGATGCTGGCTGGAGGTTTGGACATGCCCAGAGCCATGCAGATGCCCTTCAGCTCCTGGAACACAGGGCTTCCTGCCTCCTGGGACTTCTTCTCAGGTTTATTGATCAGGATCATCCTTGAAGCCTCCAGCTCAGACACCAGAAAGGCTGGAAGTAAAACTGAACTTGGTTAAAACTGACCTGCTGTTGCAGGATGATCAGACTGTAGCGGTGTGTGAAATTCAATAAAACCAGCTTAAAAATGTTGATTCTGGCTGAGGTGGAGGAATAAGGACTTTAATGACAACCTCAGACCCCATCATCCAGATCAGGGGTTGCTTCTATTCCAATACCAACTGGAAACTTGATGGCAGAAGTGATTACACTGGTGCTGTCTCTATTCTGATCCTGAACATATTTAGATAGTTTTGCTTCGCTACAACACGCAGCAGGTCCCATTTGACAAGAAACAATTCTGTTACAGACACCTGGCTTACTTTTACTAAAGCCGTTTACCTGTCCAGCAGAAAGGTTACAGGGTCCGTAAGATCCCAAAGCGTCCCCCATCGACCCAGCTTTTTAACTCATGTCTTGTCTACCTCCTCTTTAAGCGCCCGTTATCCCTCCAGAATTTACTTCATTTTCTTGCTTGTGTTGGCAGTCGTGGCCAAAGGAGGATTCAGACAATTTTCCCTACTTGCTGGTTGCTTTCTACCGTCTGATATTGTAGCAGCTAACTTTGTTTGGGCTCCTGAACATTATTCAAGGACGTGGAGCTTGCCTCACAACACGAGGGAGCAGCGTCTGCCTCACAACCAATCAGGTTGGGGGAGGCGGAGAATCGCTTTGTATATAGCCAGAAAGAGTGGGCCGCTCAAAAAATTTAAAACGTTGACTACACAGACATAACAAAACACCACGATATCATTATATCACCAAATGTCATCAATGACAAATAGCTATTGACTGATATTAAAAGCTTTTTTTGTATATACAACACAAAAAAAGATGCGTCTTTTACGGAATCCTGCCGACCCCACCTTTAACAGATTTGGACTAACCAACTTTAAATGAGAGCTACATTCTGATTGGTTGACATTTGATGTGTAGTTTGGTTAGTTGAACTAAAGGTTGCAGCCACCTCTGGGTGTGAAAAAAGGTTTAACGAAAACAAAGTGATGATTAAATTTTAGGTGTGCCAGAAAGCAACAAGCACATTACAGTGCATCTTAAACTGGCATACCCTAACAACTTGCAGCTATCATAATATCAGTGTTTACACACAAGTCTGATGAGTTAATGAGTCACAGGAAGAGCCAGCTGTTCAGTGAAAAATAAACACTTGACCATCCCACAGTTAGCCCTCCACACTCTCGTGTATTTGAGTATCAGCAGAAAATCTAACTAAGTTTGGGTGCTTCTCTGTTGTACTTATTACGATGCACATTTTCATAGAACCTTCGGACACTTTCTAAATTTTTGCGCAGGTCCAACCACAACTACAAGGCCTGAAGCTGTGAAGGCTCATGGTCATGCTTTCACTGTGCAAGAGAGAGTTGTCTGACATGCCAAAAATTCACTCAGCTGGCCAGAAGCTGCTGATTGGGCCGTGATCTGCCCCTTTGCCCTCCTGTGCACAATGATGCACAATAAAGCTGAAATTTGGCTGGACCTCAGGACCAGTCATGTGGATCAAAAACCAGGTCAGATGTGCCCTCAATTTTCATGCTGTATGTCTGGGCTAAGTGAAAGTTGTGCAGTATTTAAGCCTCTTTAAGTTGAATATTTTCACATGTAATGATGAGAAAGCAGAGACACATTTATTGAGAATGTCAAAATCATATCGTTGGAAATTATGAGCAATTGTTGGTTTTTTCATAGTTGGACAGTGAAGATTAATTAAAAGCTTGATTCAGGATCAAACTTGTCAAGAGAGATGACGCAGCTAAGGTAGAGCAACCTTGTAAAACACGCTAATGAATTAACCAAACAAAACCAGGCAGCTAAAGAAGCTACACGACTGAATGTTTGTTGTTGCTTATGATGTCTAGCTTTTTGGTTTATGCAAGTGGAAAGTTGGAAAAAAATCATCTCAAATATATAGTTAATTCAGCAAAGTTCCTTCTTTTATCATAATCGCTTGTACAAACCCCAATTCCAGTGAAGGGACATTGAATGCAAATAAAAACAGAAAACTATCTTCAAATCCCTCTCCACCAATATCAAACTGAATATGCTACAAAGACAAGACACTGAATGTCCAAACTGATGAACTTGATTGTTTTTTTTTTTGTAAATATTCATTCATATTGAATTTGATGCTTGTTCCTAAAAAGTTAGTTCTGGGTCGACAAAAGTGAGAACTGAGGACTGCTCCTAAAACACAAGTTTGGATCATTCCACGGGTGAACAGGTTCACTGGAAACAGGCCAGAGTCATGATTGAGTATAAAAGGAGGATCCCTGAAAGACTCAGTCCTTCACAAGCAAGGATGGCGCCAGGTTCACCACTTTGTCAACAACTGTGTGAGTGAATGGTCCAATAGTTTAGGAACAATGTTCTCAACGTACAACTACAGGAATACAGAGATTTGATCATCTACAGTCCATAAAATAAATAAGATTCAGAGAAATCTCTGCACATAAACAGCGAGGCCCAAAACCAATACTGAACACTGCTGACCTTTGACCCCTAAGGGGGGGACTGCATTAAAAACCACCATCATTTTCTTTACCACGTACACTCAGGAGGACTTCAGAAAACTGTTGTCTGTTAAGGCAGTCCGTCTCTACGTCTACAGATGATCTGAGATGGACTGACCCAAAGTGGATAAGTCTGCTGCGGGTCTGACGAGTCCACATTTCAAACAGTTTTTGGAAATCATGGATGTGGCATCCTCCAGGCACCACATCCATGAGGAAAAGAACCATCTAGACTGTTTTCAGGTCAAAGGTCAAAGCCAGCATCTGTGATGGTCTGGGGATGTGATAATGCCCATGGCTAACTGTCACATCTTTGAAGGCACTATTAATACTTTAAGGTACAGACAGGTTTAGGCGCAACATCTGCTACCATCAGAGCCCTGTCTTTTTCAGGGACATCCCTGTTTATTCCAGCAAGACAACACCAAGACACATTCTGCACGAGTTACAACGGTGTAGCTTCAGAGTCAAAGACTCCAGGTACTAGAAGGGTCTCTCTGCTGTCCAGACCTGTTCCCCAGTGAAAATGTGTGGAGCATTATGAAGCACAAAATACCACAACGGAGACCCTGGAATTGTTGATCAGCAGAGGTGGTCCATCACGCAAGACTAGGACAGAATTTACCTCCAAAGCTTTAACAGTCTGTGTCCTCAGTTCACAAGCCTAACTGAGTGTTGTTAAAGGAAAGGTGATGTAACAGAGAGAGAAACATGACCTTGAACCAAACCAGCTTTTAAAGAACGTGTTAAAGCATCAAATACTAAATGAGTGACTATTTACAAAAAAACAATGAAGTTTATCATTTTGGACATTCAAGTCCAGTTGAAAGACTGTCAGTTGAATTTAGGTGAAAAAGGATTTGAAATCATTGTATTCTGTCTTTATTCACAGATTACACAATGCCCCAACTCCCTTGAGTATGTACATCTACAACCCTCTCAGTAGAAGACTGAAGTGCTGAGACAGTAACAGTCAGAAAGATGTTGACTGTTACTTCACTGGAATTGGGGTTTGTATTTTTTTAAATCTATGTGGGCATCTAGACTCTCACATCTGAATATTTGGCTCTTCTGCATGGTTACTCCTCTCTCGTGTTATCGTGTGATTTCAGCAGAGCTTCCTTCAGAGCGAGTTTTCCTCTTCAGGAATGATCACAGACACTTGCTGGTACAAAGCCAGTGAAAAGGGACTTAAACAGCTTATTCTGACATCTAGTGGTGGCTGCATGCAGTATCTACACCCTCTGCAGAAAGCACATGACGATATGACTTGCCAACACTTCCAACACAGATGGGTGGATACTAAAGTCCACACGGGGTGTAACAGACTTTATCCTGTCAGCTCACAAGTCACTGCAGACAGGGTTTTCTTCTATCAAACACAAAAGATTTAAACTCAGATACTGAAAAATGAAGTGATCATACTGAGGAGCAGCAGACAGTCGGTCCTGCTGAGAAACCTCTGGGTGATGTTTCCACTGGTGAGGACGGTGTAAGGACAGACGAGCTCTGACAGCAGACCGCTCATCTCCAGTTGGAAGCTTTCTGCCTCGCTTGGACCTGAGAGAGGTGGAAAGACAGACATTGTCATCCAAGGGTCACAGGACGCAAAACATGATCATCACATGGCCCTACTGTTGTGCCTACAATTACTGCAAAATGCTGCAGCTCATCTTTTAACTAGTACTACAAAGTGAGAGCATATGACCCCCATTTGAACCTCCTTCCACTGTCTCCCTACTTATTGAAGGATTAGCTTTATCATCTTGTTTCTTTTTTTTTTAAATCTTTGAATAGAGCAGCACCTCAGAACATCTCTGATCTCCTCCATGTCTACACCCCTACATCCATGTCTCTGGGATCTGCTGATCAGCTGCTTCTTATTGGAATGAGTTATTTCCTAACATTAAAATGTCCTAGACTGTGCACACCTTTAAATTTCAAATCTGAACTTATCTTTATTCTTTGGCTTTTAACTCAGCATGACAGTTGTGATTGTGACTTTATGTTTTAATTTTTTCTTTTACCGTCTTTGTATGTGACGTACAGGCTTTTATTGTTTTATTTACGTGGTTTTTTAAAATTATTATTTCTGCTTTTAATCTTATGGTGCAGAACTTTGGTAAGCATGAATGTTTGTTAAAAAAATGGGTTATTGCATCGTTTTTAGGCACAACTGAAAAGTGTCCAAGTTTCAAACACAGGACAAACTCAGCACATCTTATTTGACATTTGTTAGTAATTCATCTCATTTTCATTTTTCACATTTCATCAGCTTTTAACCTACAAAAACAGAAAATCCCACAAGTGGAGCATGCAATTTTTATTTGTTGTTTTTACTATTGCCTTTCACTGTATGCACTTTGAGATCTGTTTTCTCAGATGTAAAGCGCAATATAAATAAAATGTATATTATTATTATCATTATTATTATTATCATTAATTCCTGTGTTAGGACATTTGTTCACTCAATTTTGAGAAAGAAAATCCTCTCCTCCAGACTGAAGATTAAACAAAGATGTCTCACAGTTGGTAGCGTGGACATTCTCCTCCAGCTTGCAGTATAGTCTGAGCTCAGAGACAATCCAGGCGCAGAGCTTTGTAAACTCAGGTGAGGCTGCTCCTTGGCTCACAGCAGAGTCCAGAGCTCCATCCTCCAACAGAGGGCCTTGGTACCTACAATGACACACACACACACACACACACACACACACACACACACACACACACACACACACAGAGAGAGAGAGAGAGAGAGAGAGAGAGAGTTCTTTTAATAAAGACAGCACTCCATAATCACCATGAGCCACAACTCTTTTCCTTACTTGTCAGAATGGCCTGACAACCATGATAAGAAGGACTGAGGTTTGGTTTCGTAAGACTCGCCAAGTGTAAAACCACGTTTATAAAATTGTCTGTTTAAGGAAGTCTGGCTTTCATCAGATCATACATGCCAAAATAAACTGGATTGGCACCTTTGGTAATTGGAGAGAGGCGAATAGATATTTCAGCGCATAATTACTGAATCAATACCTAAATATATACTCAGAAAAACAAAGCTATAAATTGAAATGGGCGGTTAATATGAAAAAGGCGTGTTGTAGCTTTTCTGATTTGAATCAAGGCAACAGTTTATCGTGTGCAAATAAAAATTAACCTCTAATTCTATTGACATCAAATCCCGCATGTAAGGTGATGATATCTAAACATAAGTATAAAAAATCACTCTCATCAGACTAACGTTAGCAGCAAAAGCAAGTTAGCCATTTTGCATGAGCAGGCTGCACTTTAATACGCTGGCTAAAACAGGCAGAGAGACGATGCTAGCCACCAGTTAACCAGCTTTGGCATGTTATCTTCACACTGTTACACATAATCCGGTGTTTTTAACTCACCCTAGGTCTTCAAGAGAGACGAGAACATCATTCTCCATCTCAGTGGTTTAACGGTATGGTCTAAAGTCACGTACTATTAGATCGAGCTTACACATCAGCCAGCTCAGCTGATACACGTTTTACTTCGTCTACTTCTTCTGCGGATTTAATGACAGTAGAAAAACCAAACGACTACCGCACCACCGCCATCTATGGGGCAGCGTTTGCTCCGTCAACAGAGCAGAAAAAAACACACAGTGACGGCCTTAAACCAGTTTAAGTCTGCTTATTACGAACTTTATTCGACTTCTGAAATTCTTAAATATAATGTTTTATCGGTTTATGATTTCTTTATTGTCATAATTTGAACATGGTCAATAGGCCTTCATACTTGGACACATTGACCTTCTTGGCTGGAAAAACAACACACTGTAACATTTCTTACATTGATAGTAATCAGTTTAGTGCTATAAAACGAAAGTAGCCCAACTAAAAATATATTCATCTCTAAATTCAGATTTAAATATGTAACCTAAAGTGCTGTGTAGTTTCAGAGGTCACATAGACATACAGGGTATAACAGTCTGCAACATACAGCTTTTCAATGGCTATTTAGCAAAATTGTTAAAGGATGCCATGAATGTCATCTTGAACTACTGAGTAATCTTTTATTCTTCGGCAAGTGTTAAATTAAATATTGTTTACAATGTCATAGTTTTCTTAATGACCACAGCCTTCTCTCGTGTTATAGTGACGCCAAAACTTTTCTTAAAAATTTAAGAAAACCTTAGTTTCTGGATTATTTCCCAAAGCTTCCAGCAGTGAGAAGAAAATATCTTTCATTTGTTTGCCATGGAAACCTTTGATTCTCATAAACAGTGGCCATCATAACTTGATTGACGTTGGACCCCATTGACTGTTTCTGAAGTTTTACTTTTACTTAAATACATTTACACACAGCAAGATCTGTTAAGTATAAGTATTACCTTTATTTTTTCTTCAGTTAGTATATCATATCATTAATTCACATGTTTAACAGCATTAATTTAATGGCTGATGAGCCATTAGCTGAAACATAAGTTGTTGCTCTAACTCTGGCTGATTGCTAGTGCTTACCCCTGAAACTTGGGTTGCAGATTTATGAAGTCTGGTGACACAAGCTTACTGTTATTGTCAGATCTGTGAAGCTTAAAGGAGTTGTGTCAGTTTTGTTGCTGTAATGCTAACTGTGGATGGTGTCAATTTAAACACAAGGAGAAGAGGGCTGTGATATCATTCAGTGTTACAATGTCATTTAGTAGATTCTTTTATCCAAAGTGATGTACATATGAGAACAACACAAGCAAAGATCTAGACAAGAGGAAACAACATCAGTAAGAGCAATGAGTGCTTCAAGTCCATTTGGACACAGGTACTACCACGCAGTTTAAAAGGCCATACACAACAGTGAATAGGGTGTTTTTCTTCTTCTGCTTCTTCTTTTTTTATTTTTATTTTTTTTATTATAGATTAGGAACATCAACAAAGAAGCATCATTCACCATTCACCTGCAGAGAGCTGTTTTACTGTCAGTCTCTGAAATGACCTTCATCTTGTAACATACGTGTGATGTGTTGCAATGACATTTCAAAGCTGTACCAATAAAAAGTTTTCATTTTAATTTTGCCATTACACAAATCATTGTTGTTTGATGTTTGCAGGTGTTAAACTGTTTAACCTTTCAGTGATTCCTAAAAAAAATGTTACATGAAAAAATAATTGGTGAAAATATGAAGATGGAGGTCCTTGTAAGAGGAGTCCTCAGCAAATTTCTTGTGCTGTTGCTTTCTGGCTTGGTGCAGAGGGGACCGTGAAGGAAATCTGAATGAAAGACTTGCAACTATCCAACAATGTGAACCTTCAAAGTCCTTCTTCCTGTATAGCTGCGTGAGTATGAGGAGGCTCACCAGTTTATTAATAAGAAGAAGAACTTTATTGATCCCTGAAGGGAAATTCAGTGGTTAATGTTGTATATTTATGGTTTATTTTTTAGAGTTGGTGTCTGGCACTGATATTTATTTGTTTTCACATTGCTTTGTACATAAATACAGTCATATATTTAAAGATGGTTTAGCTGTATGCTCTGTGTGGCACTGTGTTGGGTATTACAGTTTTTCTCAGTTGCTTTGGTGCATTTCTCAGATCAGAATGAAAGTTCTCACAACTATTCGTTCAACCTCTACAACATTGAGTCATTTGTGCACTTAATCGTAGCAGTTTCTCATTCCTCTGAACAAATTGCAAACGCTCTTGGACATATCAATTACTTTCATACAATTCTCTGCTGTTTTATAACATTATCATTTGCTTCTGTCATGTCAGTCAAAATGAAACATACTTATGAATGCTGAATAGCCATTCCCTATTAAACTAATAGTCCTCATTTGATTGCTTGAGTCATTACACACAAAATTGTTGAACTAGTGTTCAAAATGTCTCCTAAATTGAATGATTGCTCTCAGGTGAACCTAAGCTTTCACTCATGAGGAGGTGTGTGAAGCATTAGTTGTAACCAATGACAAGCCACTTGTCCACAGTCACTCAGAGCTGAATCCCATGAACCCTCACTTGGCAAGCATAAACCAAGCAGGACATAGTGTGTATCATTTCTACAATTCTGTGACACAAAAATGGAAGGTCAACGTCGAGGAGGAGGGGTGAGAATGCAGGGAGGAAGGAAGGTTTATGACTGCCATTCACATGCCCAAATGGCCCTTGTAGCAGCCATGGATGCTGCATGTGATGGCATCACAGTGGAGTCCTGCAGAGAGTGGATTCGTCATTCAAGGAGATACTTTCCTCGCTGCCTTGCAAGAGAAGACATCCACTTTGATGTAGATGAAAATGTGTAGCCAGACAGACAGGAACATGTGAATGCCTAGGAATAATTTATGTTTTATGTTCAGTTTACAGTAATATGTACTATTATTTTGTTTACATTTGTGCACAGTTTTACCAAAATGGTATTTCTTATGTTGGTTCTAAAAGAGTGGCAGTGAATCTTTTTTTTTTTTTTTTTTTTTGCACTGTGCTGTAGAATTGCAAGGAGCATATGCAGTAAATATGTGCAACATACACTACAGGCCAAAAGTTTGGAAGCAAGATCAGATTTGTACAAAAAAAAAAGATCATAGTTTCATATATATAATTTGCAACACAATAAACATGACTATTGTATACAGAGTAACTTATCAGAAGACATTTTGACTATAATTATTAGGTATTTGAGTTATTGTTGCTTTGACTTTGCTTTCTTTAAAGAAACCTCCTTTGGCTTTAACAACAGCTTGGCATATACGAGGCATTCGTTCCACAAGTTTTCTAAGGTATGTTCCAGGGATTGCATTCCAAGCTTTCTTAAATTCATTAAAAAGAGACTGCTGATTCGTGGGACACGAACTTCCACCTCCATGCTGAATTATGGGTGTAACACATGGTGCTTTCAGATGTTCACCAGTTTGTCTGCGGACATAGACTCTGCGTTTTGAACCAAACAGTGCAAACTTGTTTCTAGTCATCAACTCTAAAACAATGCCGTTAATTCTGCAGTTGACTTTGCAAAGCCGGCAGAAATCATTTATATCCGACGTCTTCTGCAGATATAAACGATTTCTGCTGACTTTGCAAAGTCAACTGCAGAATTAACGGCGTTCTGAATGAAAAGTCCCGCAGCATGTGTTAGACGTCACCATCTACACATGGACCAATCAGGGGCTACCTTTCCCTGTTGTCTGGGTAAAAGTGGAAACACGGTCTCTGATTGGCCCGGTTATTTTCTGACCAGGAATACATGCTCCCAATGGGCCGAAGTCCAGACTGTTGTGGGAAGGAACGGCAAGTGATTCATGCAACAGGGTGGCCCAGCCAGGCTAAGTGTGACATGGTTGAAGTCTCCTGATATTATTATTAATGCCTCAGGGTGTTGAGTCTGTAGCCTGGCAACGCTATTTTGCAAAACATCGCAACATTCCTCAGTTGATTTGGGTGGAATGTAAACAACTACTGTTATGGTATGCAGTAGCGGTTCTAGGCACGGGCGAACAGGGCAGCCGCCCGGGGCGGTATTTGTGTCATGACTCATGGGGGGCGGCACGAGCACTTCCAAAAAAATAAAATAAAAGATAATAATAATAAATCTTAGTGTTTTTTTTTTTTTATTAACTCTTGTTGTCAAATTGGCAAAATTTTATTTTTGTTGTTCTAATCATAATACTACATAATAATACAAAACTATCTGTTCAAAATTCTAAAAGAGCAACTGCCAACAGTTCAATGTCTCGACAACACAACTTCTCCTTGACAGTTATGTGTGAAGGGTTACACCATCTCTGGTTGAAAAATAAAGCCAGACCTCCTCCTTTCTTCTTGCCACTCGCTTTAGCATCCCTGTCTGACCTTATGAGAGTGAAGCCAGGTAGATCCAAACTGGAGTCTAAGTTGTTTTGATTCAACCAGGTTTCAGTAAAACACAGGAAACTGCACTCACGGTATGCTTTCTCAGTCTTAACCAAGATCTCCAGCTCATCGCTTTTGTTGGGCAGAGAGTTGATGTTTCCCATGATGATTGATGATCCTAGCATAAAGCTTTGCCTTCACCTTTGCACCAGCACGACAACCACGATAACACATGACCGTACCTGTAGGCCTATCACTTTTCAGTTACTCACCCATTGTATAATGGCAGTCCCTGGTCTGGGTGGCTTAAAGGTGGTGCACATGGCACATGGGTTTTGCTCATCAAAGACAGACCAAAATGAAAAAAGAATACATTATATATATATATATATATATATATATATATATATATATATAGAGAGAGAGAGAGAGAGAGGAGGGAGGGAGATTTACAATCAATATTGTTTCAGATTTTTATGTTTAAGTGTCCTTTACCAGAGGCCTCCAGGATGTGCATAGCCAGATCTTGCCTCTCCCTTCCCATTTGTCTTCTGGAAGTGCTGAAGTCCATGTGAGGGATTGCCGGGAAAGCCTTGAGCAGGGCCTCTGCCATCTAAACAACATC